TTGAAACTATTTGTTCTTTTTTGACATTTGTATTTTCCTAATTGTTGGATCCTCCTCCTACCATTCAACTAAATATCCGCAAATTCAATTTAAAGGAAATAAACACAACAATTATTAAAAAAAAAAACATCGGACAACACAATAACTAAATTACTCTTTTACCCCTTCTGAACCCAAAATCGTCACATTCACACGAGATATGGCAAGGGCAACTTCATCATTCAGACGTGGCCTCCCCTCGTAGCAATAAGATTTCCATTTCCACACTAAATCTGAAAGAAACTCTCGCAGAGATGGAAAGATTGCTGCTTTTGACATTACTCTGTGTGTTAATCTTCGCTTCCGTGGCCGCAGATGATTACGTCCGACCAAAACCTCGTCAAGCCTTGCAGTTCCCATGGAAACAAAAGTCCTCTTCTCAACCCGAGCAGGTACTCAGTCTCCCATCCAGGTTTCCTCTGTTTCCATCTTCTTCTTCTGTCTCGGATTCTTCTGATTTGATCAGCTTTCTGTAAAACCATGTTCTTTTTTTCTTGGTCTGATCTCCTTCTATTCTTATGCTGCATGTGTGTCTTCTGTTCTGTTTGTTTTCTCCGGAAATTCCGATTTTGGGTTAATAGATAAAATCCCATTTGGTCGTGTCCTGCTTAGTCTTGAAATCCTTCTCAGATGTTTCACTTGTGTTCATCTGGATATAATCTAATTTCTCTCTAGTAAGTAATCTTTACTACTTCGTGAAAATGCCCTTTTCCTAATTGATTTCTTATTTCAGCTGAGATGGATTTTTGATATATTCTGTTTCAATCAGAAGAATAAATTGATGTTTGAGAGAAATTAGAGATATAGAGCGCTTGATACAATCATAGGTTCTGTTGTTAGATCAATTTGGTCATTTTTCTTATACTGAGGATTCAATACTTGCAGGTTCACATCTCATTGGCTGGAGATAAACATATGCGAGTGAGTTGGGTTACGAATGACAAATCGTCTCCTTCGTTTGTTGAATATGGAACATCGCCAGGGAAATACTCCTATCTTGGTCAAGGAGAAAGCACCTCTTATAGCTATGTATTCTACAGATCAGGGAAGATACATCATACCGTCATCGGACCATTGGAACCGGATACTGTTTATTTTTACCGTTGTGGTGGAGGAGGACCTGAGTTCCATCTGAAAACACCACCAGCTCATTTCCCGATTACTTTCGCAGTGGCTGGGGATCTTGGTCAAACCGGTTGGACCAAGTCGACTCTAGATCATATCGATCAATGCAAATACGCTGTGCATCTACTTCCCGGGGATCTTTCTTACGCTGATTATATGCAGCACAAGTGGGACACGTTTGGGGAGCTGGTTCAGCCTCTGGCAAGTGTGAGGCCATGGATGGTAACCCAAGGAAACCATGAAAAAGAGAATATCCCCTTTATTGTGGATGAATTTGTGTCTTACAACTCGAGGTGGAAGATGCCGTATGAGGAGAGTGGATCAAATTCAAATCTTTATTACTCTTTTGAGGTTGCGGGTGTCCATGCGATCATGCTTGGCTCATACACAGATTACGATAGGAACTCAGATCAATACAAATGGTTGAAGGTGAGCATTCTTACATATCGTCCTTTTGTTATGTGTATTTCCCTTTACTTCCACAATAGGTCTAAGCAGTTGGCTAAATAGTACCACATTAACAATTTATTTCAGAAAGTAGCATTTTAATGGGAAGAACAGTAATCTATGATCTACTTTATTGTCATTGCAGTTTCTTAGGTTCTACTATTGCTTCCTTGCAGTACTATCAGCAGTTTGTGTTGCATTTCTTGCACTAAGAACTGTTGTTATCATTGATATGTGTAGGCTGATCTCTCAAAGGTGGACCGAGAAAGGACTCCGTGGCTAATAGCTCTCTTCCATGTACCATGGTATAACAGTANTGAAGCCCATCAACATGAAGGTGATGGGATGATGGCTGTAATGGAGCCTTTGCTTTATGCGAGCGGTGTTGATATTGTATTCACTGGTCATGTTCATGCTTATGAACGCACGGTATGCTCAAAACTATGTCAACTCCTCTTATGAGTCTAAAAGAAAAAGAAAAATGTGATATTAATTGGTTTGTTGTGCTCCTTTGACAGAAACGTGTCAACAATGGTAAATCAGATCGATGTGGTCCTGTACACATAACTATAGGCGATGGAGGAAACAGAGAAGGGCTAGCTCGCAAGTAATTCCTCAAACTGATTACTCCTGCTTTATTCGAATTTCATATTTTCTGTGCTATAAGTAACTATGAACAAGAATCCTTTGATGTGTCCATGCCAAACCTCTTTCATCTTAATGTCTTAAATCATATTATCTACATGGAAATAATCCCACTTTGAGTGTCCTTGTTATATGATGAAAGTAGTTGATACTTATCTTAAGAGGATCATGGTTTTTCACTTTCAGGTACAAAGATCCGTCACCAGAGTGGTCTGTCTTCAGGGAAGCAAGTTTTGGACATGGCGAGCTTCAGATGGTGAACTCAACCCATGCGCTCTGGACCTGGCATAGGAACGATGACGACGAGCCAACGAGATCTGATGAGGTTTGGTTAACCTCTCTTGTGAACTCCGGATGTTGGACCGAAAAGAATAGGCACGAAGAACTCCGGAAAATGCTCCTGGAACCTTGATGATATCCATAATTAAGTGAGATATGCAGTACAATAGTCCAACGTATATATCTATAGTAAACCACATGGTGGTTATGTTAGCAATGAGTGTATTAGACAATTGGACAAGATTTTCACCAGCTCCATAGAAATCATAGTTCCAACTTTAAAATTTTGTAAACTTGCTCTTTGTCTTGTATTGTGTTGTTTTCCCCATTAATCAAAAATACTATTTTTTTTTATCTTGATATATGATTTGATTACATATTTCGAAAATTTTTCTTCAAGAGTTCTAGAAGCATTTGTCAATGTAGATGGTTTCAATTACAGAAAATTTTGAAAAATTCTTTCCTATTGACATTTTGGTGCACCAACTGTCATTTGCTTCAAAGCTTTACTTAAAAACATTCTTCACGACATTGAACGATTAATTACAACGATTAGGCCGTAAAATGATGTAAGTGGGATTAGTTTAACTGTTTTGTTTTGTTGGTCTGTCTGAACTCTGAAGACCGTTGACGAAAAAAAAAGGCGTACCTTTTCCACGCGCTCTCATAAAATCCTTTACTTCATCGTCGTCTCTTTCAGATCAATTCTGCAACACGATCGCTCTCATCAAATTTTCTTTACTTACTTTTCCGGGAAAATTTTCAATAACCCAGGTCGAGAAAATGCATGATTTCTGCTTCACTATCCCGTACGGGATGCTTCTAATCGGAGGAGGATTTATTGGGTACATGAAGAAAGGAAGTATTACATCTTTCGCCGGAGGTGCAGGCACTGGTTTATTACTCATTCTCGCTGGGTTTATCAGTCTCAAAGCTTTCGAGAAGAAGAAGAATTCTTCTATTGCTGTTGTTCTCCAGACAGGTAATTTCGAATTCGGTTACTTTTTTCTCGCCGATCTGGGTCTTTGATTTCACTGTTCCGATCAAGAATTTAGATTTCGTTATAGGATTTTTGCTTGAGAGTTGATGATAAGATTTTTGTTTTTCAAGGTTACGGATCTTATTGGACTATTTAACGATCTGGATCTGAAATAAGTAAATCCGGTTACATGATGATCTGATTTGTGTGTTTGATGCTAGACATGATAATCAAAAGATGGAAAAACCAACCAACAATTTGTTGTGTTTGGATCTTCGATTGTAGCACTGTTGCAATTGGTTTGCTAGTTTGGACACTAACATAATAGATGCTGTGTTTATTGCAAATGAATATTCAAAATACGAAGTTCCTTATGTGAAGACAAAGTTCCTTATGTGAAGAAAATGGTTATGAAAACAATCTTAATAATTGAAGGGTGCTTGTCTTATTTGACTTGTAAGATGTTGTAGTTGAGTAGATTCCTGGTTTTAATTAGTGTTCTTGCCATTGATTCACACAGTACCAATCTCCACAAACATTACTAACAAGCTCGCAAAGTTTATTTCCATGTTCCTATTAAGAATCTCCGGTGACCGAAACTCATCTGAATGTTCCTTTTTTTATATATATAGTCATCGCAGCTGCTCTCACGCTAGTCATGGGACAACGTTACTTGCTGACTCAAAAGATTATGCCGGCTGGTTTGGTTGCTGGGATCAGGTAAAAACGATCCTCTTCTCTCCCTTCCTTCTGTGAGATTCTAGTGACTATTTTATCTTTGTTTGCATCCAAGATTTTGGTATTTTGAGTTTTAACCTTAGAACCGTGTCTGTATTGCAGTGCCCTCATGACCTGTTTTTACGTATACAAGATCGCAACTGGTGGCAATAAAATTCCATCAAAAGTCGAAGAATGATTGGTTATGCAGTTTTTTGGTTTTCTTGGATGAACATGATACTTTTACTTTCCGGTTGTTGAATTTGTCGATTAGAAATCTGTAATGGTGTATACTGTGCTGCTCTGGTTACACCTTCAAAAGCTTGTATTAGTCAAAGAAGTGTCTCTGTGTTTTGTGTCTCTTGTCATCATGTTTTTGTTAACCACAAACTCTTTTGAGCCCATATTTATATACGAAAAATTCTGATGTTTCGATGCACACTCGGGGTCTGAGGGATGTGCACATGGTAAAAATAAACTGGGAAATGACCCATATGGAAGTTGATCCTCAAACTTCTTCGCACATTTTCTCATTATGAAACTTGACATTCCCTGTAATTTTCAGAACACTAATAAATCTTGAACTGTACTTGCTCTTTCCTAAAATTTTGCATTGATTCACGAGTGCAGTAATTAAGGCAAGACTCTTGCATGATCACCTAAACAGAAGCCAGGCCATGTAACGATTCTATTTCAGGAGTTCGAGTAAAAGTATGCCTCGATGAGATGAAAACATAAGCTTCAGGTTCATCAATGGAAGTGACAGGTTAGAAAATTGGCTTTTCTCATGCTAGAAATGTTCTCTTTGATGGAATCCATGAATTTATTGGAAATAATTTCTCATGCTAGGAAATTTCTAACCAGGTGAGGTGAACACTTGGTCTCTACTTAAGGTAATAAGTTCTTTTGGTCCCATTTTTTCAAAAAGCAACATTATGCTAACAAATATAGAACTTTGTGCAATGAATGCTAGTGCTGAATCTGATTACGTCTTATAGCTAAAGTTTCCATTCTAAGGACGTGGTAGTTTGTGCAAATTAATGCTAAACAGCTCATGGGAACAATTATTCACTTATTTCTCATTCCATCTCCCTAAAAAATTCTAAAAGAAACACTGAAAAAATCACCATGATCATGGCGTTCCTCCGTAGAATGGTTTTTCTGATTCTGATCCAGTGCTTTTTCTTGCAGACTGCTTCAGCAAGTTCTTGGCAGACACTGAGTGGTTAGAGAAAGAGTTCTTTCGCTTTTCTAAAACATGAATTTTATGATGTTCTTGCACTTTCTTGATGTGTAATTTTTTTGGCAGGGAAACCACCGGTTGTCATTGCTCGAGGCGGGTTCTCTGGTGTGTTTCCAGATTCCAGTAATAGCGCATATGATTTGGCGAAAACGACAACTTCACCAGACATAACTCTCTGGTGTGATCTTCAATTAACAAAGGATGGTGTTGGAATCTGCTTCCCAAACATGAATCTTGACAACGGTTCTAATGTCCAGTACATTTACCCAAATAACAAAGAATGGTTTTCTTCTGATTTCACTTGGAAGCAACTCTCTAATGTGAGCTGTAAGTGATTTTCAAGTATCTTGTTTATTTGAACACTCTTCTTGCTATATATTCTTCGGTGAAATGTTCAATCTTTTTGGAATGAAAACTCTACAAATATTTCAATTCAGTGTTTTGTGATAGTAACTCTAGTTTAACCCCCAAACAGGTGTCCAGAATATTAACTCAAGACCAGAAATTTTCGATGGTTCTTACCCGATATGGACTATTGAAGAAGTAGCAAATTCAGGAGCTTCAGGTCTCTGGTTAAACATTCAGGTATAATCTATATACTCTTTTTATCGCTCAAACGCCTTTTCCATAAGTCCATAGCTAATCTTCTTGTCGTTCATACACTTACAGAACAGTGCTTTCTATACACAACACAATTTGAGTATGAAAAACTCGGTTGTCTCTCTATCAAAAAGCATGAAGTTCAACTTCATATCTTCTCCAGAGATTAGTTTCCTTAAGAGCATGAAAAACAGTGTCAAGCCGCGTGTGACAAAACTCATATTTAGGTTCCTGAATCAAGACCAGATAGATCCCTTCACCAACCAATCTCACGGCTCTCTTGCCAAGAATCTAAGTTACATAAGAACGTTTTCGTCTGGAATTCTTGTTCCAAAATCTTACATTTGGCCCGTAGATTCTGCTCTTTACCTGCAACCCCACACGTCGCTTGTCACTGATGCCCATAAAGAAGGTCTACAAGTTTTTGCCTCGGAGTTTGCCAATGATTTCTTGATTGCATATAACTACAGCTATGATCCAACAGCTGAGTATCTATCTTTCATTGACAATGGAAACTTCTCCGTTGATGGTTTCTTATCAGACTTCCCGGTAACTCCATATCGAGCCATCAGTAAGTAAATTTCTGCCTCTTCTCATTATACATACCTTATAGAGGTTAAGAAATCAAGATTCTTGTTTGCTTTCCACAGGTTGCTTCTCTCATTTGGACAAGAAAAAAGCTAAGGATCACGGTAATGCACGGCGTAAACCATAATATATATATATGACCTTTCTACAGTGTAACCCATTTTGATCTTGCAGCTAATATAACTATTATTTCAAACAACGGAGCGAGTGGAGATTTCCCCGACTGTACTGACTTGGCGTATCAGAGAGCTGCGAGGGACGGGGCTGACATTCTTGATTGTGATGTTCAGATGTCGAAGGACAAGATCCCTTTTTGCTTGAGCTCCATAGATCTTATGAACAGCACTAATGTCTTAGAAACAAGCTTTAGAAATCTGTCATCAGTAGTCTCAGAGATTCAGCAGAGAAGTGGAATGTACACTTTTAGCCTGACCATGTCTCAGATTCAAACCTTGAAGCGTAAGAACAAAACTACAAATTAAACTCAAGGTTCAATATAAACACTTTTTTGAATGAAGATTATATCTGAAAATGGGCATTGTTTTCCCTTCATTGCAGCTGCTATTTCGAATCCTTTTAGGGTCAATGCTTTATTCAGAAACCCAAGAAACAGAAATATTGGAAAGTTTCTTACATTATCCGAGTTCTTGCTTCTTCCAAACCGTTACAGCTCTCTCTTAGGCATCTTGATAAAAGTAGAGGTGAGAGTTCTGTTGCAAATCTTATGTGTGAATAATGATGACTTGACACATGATTCTTTTCTTGATATAGCATTCTCTGTTTTTTTTAGAATGCAGCGTATTTAGCGGAACATCAAGGAATTAGCGTGGTCGATGCTGTATTAGATGAACTGAAGAAAGCTACTGCTCAAGAAAGCTACGCAAATGCTACAAGAATATTGATTCAGTCTACTGATAAGTCTGTTTTGATGAAGTTCAAGGAGAAGAAGAAGATGAATCACGATGAGCTGGTCTATAGAGTCGATGAAGACATTGGTGATGTCACAGATTCTGCAATCAAAGACATCAAGGATTTTGCAGGCTCGATTGTCATCAGTAAGAAGTCGGTGTATCCAAGCAACAGTGGCAATGCGTTTGTCAGGCTTAGAACCGGGACAGGTATTGTTTCCAGGCTAAAATCAAACGGGCTTCGTGTTTTCGTAGAAACATTTCACAACGAGTTTATGAGTCAACAGTACGACTTTTTCTCGGATCCAACCGTGGAAATAGACTCCTTTGTCCGAGCTATCGAAATTGATGGCATCATCACTGACTTCCCAGCAACCACTACAAGATACAGAAGTAAGAAAAGTCTCCTCTTCTTTTTTGCTTCTTTAACTTTCCTTGAGCCAGTCTGAGATTATAGTTGATTGCAGAGAACCAATGTTACAGCAAAATGGATTTGGTTCCAACCGGCGAGCTCATAACTTTATCGAATTCAGTGCATCTTGGTCCAGCTGAAGCTCCATATCCATCACTAGTTGAGTCAGATGTCATAGAGCCACCATTGCCTGAAGTAAGAAGTCTGCCTCCCGCTTCTACCAACCCACCAAAAGCAGAGGCAGAAGCAATAGAAGTTCCCTTTGAGGTTATAATCATGTCGATTCTTGTGAGCTTATTTATCTTAGTTTAGTGCTTGTAACTGACTTCAAGTACAGTATCTGCAAGTTTATCTATGGATAACAATGCTTGTTTAATATATCATTCTTCTCTTAAGATTTCTATTAGATATCTAAAAATTTCAAATTTAGAAGAGGATATTAATAGGAATATGGAAATGGATAAACATATCTTTAAATCCCACAAAAAACCAAATTTAGCTTATATAATCTTAACTCTCTTCCAATGGATTCTTCACCAAAATTCACCATCCATTTATTTCTCTCTTTTCCAAGAAAAACATAAGGAAGGATTCTCTTACTAGCAAAATTGATTTCTCATTTTTTTTTTTTTTGGTTCCTTCTTCTTTTGAGGCCAAAAGAAACCAGATTCATTTTTGGTTTCTTCAAAGGTCAAACCTTTTTTTTTTTCTTNTTTTCTCAGTAAATCCTTTTTGCCATTTTACAAAAGAAAAGAAAAACAAAATCGGTTGGTCTGAGAATTATCTCTATCCCTTTTGAATTCAAGGTTCAAAGAACATTCATGAACTTGGAGTAATCAAATCATCTTCTTGTAGTAATAATCCAGGAAGATACATATTAAACACATATAATACAGAATGAAGCTGACTTGCTTGTTCTGTTGTATGTCCGAGAGACGATTTACCAGACGATCATCATCGAGACAAAGCATCAAAGACTGCATTGATGCAAAGAACAATCTTACTAGATTTGACAACATCTCTTTTAAAACAGGTCCCATTTTTTATATACCTTCTTTTTTTCATTGCATACATTCTCAAATTCCTTAATCTAAAAGAAGCAAGGCGTATTTGCACATACCTGCAGATAGCAGTAGGCGAAGATACATATCCGAGGAGATAGCGAAACTCGGGAAAGGGAACATCAGTGCTCAGATCTTTACATTCAGAGAGCTCTGTGTTGCCACCAAGAACTTTAACCCCGAGAATCAGCTCGGTGAAGGCGGTTTTGGAAGGGTTTACAAAGGACACATAGAAACCCCTGAAAAAGTACTTTCTAGCTATTAACTAACACACTCTCCAACAAAAAATCTGTCATTCATATATTCTTGTTCACCGATTTGATTCTCTGAATTCTTGCGTGTTAGGTTGTTGCGGTTAAGCAGCTAGACAGGAATGGTTACCAAGGGAACAGGGAGTTCCTTGTAGAAGTCATGATGTTAAGTCTCTTACATCATGAGAACCTTGTCAATTTGGTTGGATATTGCGCAGATGGCGATCAACGGATTCTTGTCTATGAATATATGCAAAACGGCTCTTTAGAGGATCATCTTCTCGGTATATATAAAAAAAAAAAAAACACACAAAACATCATACATATCTATGCGTTCTTGAGTTCAAAAATATTAATTTTTTCTACTTTCAGAGTTGGCGCGGAACAAGAAGAAACCGTTGGATTGGGACACAAGGATGAAAATTGCAGCAGGAGCAGCAAGAGGGCTCGAGTATCTACATGAAACAGCTGATCCTCCTGTGATATACAGAGACTTCAAAGCCTCAAACATATTACTTGACGAAGAATTCAACCCGAAGCTTTCGGATTTCGGTTTAGCCAAAGTTGGTCCGACCGGTGGAGAGACTCATGTCTCGACTAGAGTGATGGGAACATACGGCTATTGTGCGCCTGAGTATGCTCTTACAGGACAGCTCACTGTGAAATCTGATGTATACAGCTTCGGAGTTGTGTTCTTAGAGATGATCACAGGAAGAAGAGTCATTGACACAACAAAACCAACTCAAGAACAGAATCTAGTCACTTGGGTAACAAAAATGCTTCAACATTTCTCTTATTTAAAGATCTGACAAACAGACAAAAACCCTTTGATTGATTGTTGCTAAAAATGCGCAGGCGAGTCCGTTGTTCAAAGATAGGAGAAAGTTTACGTTAATGGCGGATCCATTGCTTGAAGGGAAGTATCCGATAAAAGGATTGTATCAAGCGCTTGCAGTGGCAGCGATGTGTCTTCAAGAAGAAGCAGGAACGAGACCAATGATGAGCGATGTAGTTACTGCGCTCGAGTACTTAGCTATGACCA